AAATTTTTAAATTTTCTTTATTATAGCGAAAATAAAAATAATAAAAAACTATTATTTATTAAATAATAAATAATTTATTTATTTTAATTTTATAATAGCCTTTTTAAAAAATAAGCGTTTTCGCGTAATATAATAATTTATTAGTATTAATCCTAAATAGCTTAAATAGGAAACGTTTTTTAAAAAAATCGAAAATTAATTTATCGATAAAAAAGCTAAATAAATCGCGGATAATCGCTTAATTCGGATAAAATAAAAGGAAAATTAAAAATTTTCCGATTTTTTAAACGATTTTAAATATTAGCTCGGTTTTAATAAAAAATTAAATTAAATAAACGCAATTAAAATTATTATTTTTAATTTTGTTATTAATTAAAGCCTAAAAAACCGCTTAATTATTTTTAATTTATTTAACGATAATTACGATTAATAATTAAATATAATTAAAAAAATAGTTAATCGCCTAAATGCTTTATAAAAAAATAAGCGTAAAAAAGCTAAAAATATAAAGATTTAGTTTTTAAAAAAAGCCGGAGCTATTTCGTTTTATTTTACCTTTTTTCGAAAAACTTTACGGAATCGAATAAACGCTAAAAGGGATATTATTATAAAAAAAATTAATAAATTCGATTTATAATAATTTATTATTACCGTTATTAATATTATAAACGCAATATAAATAGGTAAAAAGGCGTCGGAAAATAAATAAAAACCCTAAACTTTTTAGCGTAATAAGCAGGAAATCTAATTTTTCCGAAAAAAAAAATTATATTTTAAATATAAATAATCTAAATATTTTTATTAAAAATATATTATTTACGGCCCTTTTATTAACCTTAACCCCCGAATTAGCTATATCGAAGTTATTTCGGACCTTAAAAAAAATAAAAAACCGTCGGAAAATACTTAAGCTTTAAAAAAAATCGCCTTTAAAGCTTAAAAAAAACCTATAATTATTATTTTAAATATTTTAAATAATATATATATTATTTTTTTTAATAAATATATTCGTTAATAATTTATTTTATTATAACGCGTTTATTAATAATAAGTGTTTTTATTATTTTATTTTTAATAAATTTTTTGTAATTAAAAAAAAATTTAAGCGCATTTAAATCCGGAATAAAAAATTCCGGCTCGCTAAAAACGATAAAAAACGTCGATATATTTAAAAAATCGCTATTTATTAAATAAATATCGACGGACGGAAAAAAAAAATAATAAGGTACGTCGTCCTTAATTTAGCTTATAATATTATATTAGGAAAATTTTAAATAAAAAGCAATAACGTAATATATTTATTTAGGAAAAAAATACTTAAATTTAGCATTAAAAAATACGGTTTCTTTATCCGTAAAAAAGGCTAATACGAAAATAAAGCACCCGAATTAATAAAAAATAAAACGTAATATATAAAAAATATATAAATAATTATAAATATTATTTATATAGCGGAAATATATAAAATGCGTAGAAATTTTAAAAAAATAATTAAAACTATTTAGATTTTTGCCGTTATAATAGCAAATATTAATTAAGCGCTAAAAATTAAAAAAAAAACGACTTTTTCCGAAATAACCGATACGTTACCTTTTTAGCTTAAATATTACGCTTTTTTATTTATAAATAATAAATAAATAAAGCTTTTATTTTATTAATCCGGAGCAAATTATATAATTACCTTATTTAAAAATAAATAAAGCAAAATTCGGGAAATTTTATAAGGATTTTTATACGGTATATTTAAAAATAAATTATTTATTTTTAGGAAAATACTTACTAATTACCTAAATAAAAATTAAATTAAGGCTAGCAATTCTTTCGGAAAAACCCCTGTATTTTTTATAAAAAAACCCGGAAAAGGTCTTTATTTTTATATAAATTACCGAGCTTTAAACGCTATTATAAAAAAAAACCGCTATTTTTTTCTTTTTATTAGGGAAACCTTACGTTTTTTTTTAAAAGTTAAATAATTTATTAAAATTAATATTAGGGCCGCTTTTTATAAAATAAAAATTAAAAAAAGAAATAAATAAAAAACCGTTTTTTATATTCGCTTTAGCTTATTTAAATAACTAATAATGCCTTTTAAACTAACGGGAGCCTTAGCTATTTTTTAAAGGTTTATTAATATTACGTTATAAAAATACCTAAACGATTTTTATTTTGCTTATTTAAACGACGTTTTAATTTATTTTAACGGCGATTACGTAAATTATATATTAAAAATAAATAAAATCTTTATTAAATTAAATAAAGCTAGGCTTTACTTCGATTTTAAAAAATACGAATTCGCTATTATTTAAATTAAATATTTAAAATTTATTATTTATACCGGAAAAAAAATTAAAATTAACCTTAAAAAAATAAAGGCTATTAAAAAATAAAAAGCTTTTATTAGCATAAAAAAAATTTATAATTTTATAAGCTTTGCGAATTTTTATAAAAAGTTTATCCTTTAATTTAGCAACGTTATAAAACTTTTATTAGCCTTATTTAAAAAATCAGCATTTTAAAAATAAAAATTAGCTAAAAAATATAATTTTAAAATTTTTAAAAAGCTTTTTATTATTATATTTATCCTAGCGATATAAAATAAAAAGCGTAAAACGGTAATTAAATATAATTATTTTAGCTAAGCCTTAAAAAAAGCCTTTTTATAAATTAATAATAAAAAAAATTATATTTTATAGCCTTTTTTTTTAAACGATTAAACCTAATCGAAATTAATTATAAAATTTATAATAAAAAATTACTCGTAATTATCCGCTATTTAAAAAAATAAAAAAAAAACTAAAAAGCTTAGCTAAACCTTTTAAAATTTTTACGGATTATAAAAACTTATAATATTTTATTATTAAAAAGAATTTAATTAAAAAGCAAATTCGATAATTTTTAATTTTATCCGAATTTAATTTTTAATTATAATTCCGTATAAAAAAAAAAGGCGGCAAATTTAATGCTTTTAGCCGTTTAAAGCAAAACCTCCTTAAAAAGGTCGATAACCCGAAATTAAAATTTCGCCGCTTATAATTCGTTAAAAATAAATAACTTTTATTTATTATTATATTTTCCGAAAATGCTAAATATATTTAAGCATTAATCGGTATAATGCCTTTATACCTTAAGCCTATAAAATAAAAATTATTAGGCGTAAAACGAAGCTATCGAATTCCCGAAAATAAAAATTTATTTCCTAAAGCTAAATTATAATTATTTTAAAATAAAGCTATAATATAAAATATTAATTTTATTAATTTATACCTTATAATATAATTAAAAGCGTATATATTTCCGCCCGGGTTATTTAAAAAAAATATAATATTAAAATATTAATTGCGGAATATAAATTAAACCCTAAAAGCGCCTTTTTATTCCGAAAAAAATTGCTTATCCTAAATTAAAAACCTTTCTAAATTGCATTTATATAAAAAATTTACGATTTATTTATTACCGGCCACCTAAAAAAAATAATATTTTTACAATAATATTAAAGCATTTTTATTAGCCGGGAATATTTAAAATAATACGGAAATTTTATATTAATTACGATATTTATAAGCGCTTTAAAATTTAGCGCGAAAAAAAAAAGCGGCCTTTTAGCCTTTTTTTTTATATTAAACCGGTTTTATTCGGAATTTTTTATCGATTTTATAACGGAGCTTTTTGCGAAAAAGAAAAAAAACCCTTATTTTATAATAATAATCGTAAATCGTTTAGCAAAAATAATTATAATAAAAAGTATAAATATTATAAAAGCGCCTAATTACGCTTGGCGTTTTATTAATTATTATTAAAAATTTTACGGTTTTTTTTAAGCTATTATTTTTAATAAAAAATCGAATTAAATAAGCGATTTTTAGGTTTATTTATATAAAATTATAAATATTAAAAAAAAGTTATTTATAGCCTTTTACCTAAAAATTAACGGTTCGATTAAGCGTATAAATTAAAAAATTTAATTATATTTTAAAGCTTTTATTTTATATATTTAATATAATTAGCCCGAATTTTTCCCTTTTATTATATTTATTATTAATAACCGTAATACTTTAATCGGCGCTAATTTTTTTTTTAACCTATAAATATTATGCTAAATTTATAAAGCAAATATTTCCGCTATAAAAGCTTTTATAAAAAATAAATAAAAAGCAAATTAAAAAATTCGTAAACCGATAAAAAAAAGCTAAAATTTAGCTTAAGCTATAATAATAGCTATATAATAAAAAATAAAAAATACGGCAAATAAAAATAAAAAATTATAAAAACGATTTAAAGCTAAAAATTTAATATAGCTTAAGCTTAAAAATTTAAAAATATTATAAATATTTAAAAAGCTATTTTAAATTAATATAAAATATAAAATTAGCAAAATTATTAGTTTATAAATAATTAAATTAAACGTACCTAATAAAATTTAGCTATAATTTTACGTAAATTTATTACGGAAAGCAAACGAAAATCCCTTACCGTTATAAAAAAGCAAAAATTAATAGCCGTTTTTAATATTTAATAAAAAACTTTTATAAAAAAAATAAGTTATTAAAAGGATTTTCCGTATAAAGCGGCATTTTATAAAACGAAAATTTAAACGGAAATTATTAATAAAATAGCAAAATTACGTAAAACCTACCTAGCAAACCCAAATTATATTCGATAATATATAAGCTTTAAATAATTTTAAAGCCCGATTTAGCGTAAATAACGGAATAAATAAAAAAAAAAGGCTAAAATAAAGCCTTTAGTAAAAAAAAAATAAAAAATTATTATTAAAATAATTAAAAATAAGCAATTAGCAAAAGCTTAAAAAAAAAAGCTAGCTAAAAAAAAAAAGGTCGAAAATCTAATTAATAAAATGCTTTTACCTCCCGTCGGAATTTAGGATTAAATTTTTAATTTATTTATATTTTCTTATTTTTATTCGAAAAAAATATTAAAAATTTCCTTATTTATTTAAAAAAAATACCGGCTATATAAAATAGCCGGTTACGCATTTTTCGATATCGAATTAATTAATTAGGCACTTCCCGATAAAGGCTTTAATATTTTAAATATACCCGGATAGCGTTTTTTTTTTATATTAAAAAAATAACGGCTTATTAATAATTATTAAAAACCCTACGTTTTAAATTTTTTATTTGTAATAAAAAACGTATTATAGCTAAAAAAATCTCGGGTTTTATAATAAAAACTACGGAAAAAAAGCGTTATATAAAGCAATTAAAGCATAAGCGGCTATTATAGCTTAATAATTAAAAGGGGAGTTTTCAGAAATCTAAGGTTTAATTCCCCGAAAAGCCCGGAAAAAAGGTAATATTACGGGTACACCCGATTTTCGGCACCGGATATATAGTTAATCCGGTGCCTAAATAGGTTATAATAGAATCTGCGCATAAAAAATAGCTTTTTTTTATTTAAGCTAGTTTATAGACTATATCTGGCTATAATTGCGTGACTGCACGCACTTAGTGAGCCCATCACAGAAAAAGAGGCTCTGCTGCCTCCGCCACACTTAGCCGTGATCCACTCTCGATTTGCCTCCTGATCGAACGTCACGTCACTTCTTTCTCGACATCATGCGTTTTTTTTCTCCCTTGGTTCTGTTTGTCTGCCTTTCTGCGAGAGATTTCAACCTGAGAGATCGAAAGAGGTGAATTCAATAGACATCACATCCACCAGCACAAGACTTTTTGATACAGGAGTCTGTCAATCATGCGGCCGGCCGTGCTCGTTGGTCGATCGACATTAGATCACCCAATACAGCTAAGCACTTCCAATCGTGTGGATCTCCCGCAATATCCCAAGTGACCCCGTTGTAATAACATCACATCGGTAGTCGGTTGTCAATCCCGAGACTTCTTTTTTGTAATACCGCATGTCGGATGAGCTTGATGGACTTTTGTGTAGTCCTTTGACTCAAGCTCTTCGACAGCATGGTCTTTTTGAAGAACAGTGCACATGTCAATCTTCCGATTCCGCAAAATGACCCGGGAACCCCGTATTGACAGACAGATTACTGCGGTCCTTGTCAAAGAATATGGTCAATTCCAACGATGGACTTGTACCTTCATCCAACACACCATCACACTCAAAAGTTGGGCTGAGATGAGGTGCAAGTGGTGCAAACTCAATTGTTGCCTATGTCAGCTAGACCGCGGCTGTTGCACCATCTCAGCCTTATTCTCTTGACTTTACTACAGTAGTAATACAGACCGACCATCTGATAAGCAATGGTGTCGGTCGGAGCACATCCTAAACAGGCAACCCGGCTGTCACCCTACTATACTCGAACCTCGACAACAAGTCACACATACTACACCATTTTTTAGCTACACTGTCAGAAAGTCGGAACGATTTTGTCTCTACCCGAGCGTGATACACACAATGCCTTTACGTATTTTGTACTTCACGTCAAATAGTGCTCAGGAACATGCAAATTCTTGTTCATTTTTTCTCAATTCATTTCATCCATGGCTATTTATCACCCCAATCCCAATGACAAACGCAATCGGATTCTATCTGCCCTTATTTTCGAGATCCGATACTTGGGGATCCTTTTTCTTATCCTGGTACAATACTCAACAAATTTTTGGTTGCAAATGTCGGAAATGATTTCCGGTGCTCAGAACACAAGAAGAAAAGTGTCGTCGTGGTATCAATCGATCTGCTCTCAAAAAAACAGAGATACAAAGTTGATCATGTGCCGTCCAATATTGGCACGTATAGAGACAATCGTAAAGCGTACTCGGTACAGCCTATTAAAGCACTCTTTCGAGGCCAATGCAGCCCCAGCCATTTTTGCCGGGTGGTAGGTGAAGAAACAAATGTGTTCGTGTAGTGTTCGTGATGCAAAGAAAGATGCTGAAAAGCAAACAAGTTTGTACATGAAGCAGATTTTTTTGAAACGCAGAAATTAGTATACAGATTTCTTGCGTCGCTCAAAGACTCGTGAAAATCCGCTGCTAGACTTTTCTTGGGATTGAGCAACTGGTGAAGCCATGGTTGACGGTGGAGGCTCGGAGTCCCGGAGGAAACTTGCAAGGTCTGAGGTTCTTCCCAACCCAGCTGAAGACGAGGCATCTCTCGGTTCGTACTTCTTCATCAGAACACGACCGCCGGATGGGTTGTTGTTGACCCGTGGTGCGGGAGGCTGGATGCTGCCATAGGAAGTAGCAGCGCCGCTAGGAATGGTGACATTGATGGGCGTGTAACCTCTAGGGTTGCCTCCTTGGCTGCTCACAGCCCTGGGCTGGTTTGTGCTGATCCCGTTACTCTTTGCGGCGGAAGATGAGTTACCGCCGGCTGATCTGAGTCTGGAAATGAGATTCGGAGCACTGGCCTTCTTCTTGGGCATGGCTTGTGAGGTAACAAATGGTCGAGGCGGCGAAGGTGCGCTCGGGGGTTCACAATTGTTGAGGAAGTCAATCAGGCTCTCTTCCTTCCTCGGCTTGGGTCGTGGAGCCAAATCGAGATCGAAATCGTCATCGTCATCGACAAGTTCTTCCTCCTTGATGTGGTTTACTCCTTGTGTTTCAACTCTTCCTAAACCGTCGCCCTCGAGCTCATCGAACTCATCTTCCTCATCGCTGAAATCGATGGCGTACGGGTCACGGACCCTGCGCTGCTTGCGCTTGGGCATCATGTCGTCATCATCAAAGTTGTTGGAGTACTGAGCTGGCTTATTGGCCTTGTTCAATAGAGCACTATTCGAATTGATCGAAGATGGGAGCGAAGTATCAGTAACGGTCGTAGAAGCACGACTGTGACGAACATCAGGGATGACGGCATCGACTGCTTTGCCTCCTCCGGCACCCGACATTTGCATCTGGTCAGAGTCCATGGTCGTACGGAAAGGCGCCACATTTCGTGGGATCCGTGGGTTGTTGCCTGCATTGGGAGGACCTCTTCGGATAAAGTCGATCAGATCTGAGCTCTCATTGGAAGCACTGACTGCAGCATCTCGGGCTTGGAGGCGGGCCCTGTTCACCGAGCCTTGGCGTGAACGGTTCAGCTCAACGCTGGCACTTGGGGCAACGGTACCGCTGGCGCTTCTGCCATGCGCTGCATGGCTAGGCGGAGCTTTTGCAGGTGCCGGCTTTCCTCCAGGGGGGCCTGTAGAGCGTATGAAGTCGGCAAAGTCTGCCACCGATTCACGGGGGACCCTGGCGTCTCGAGCCTGAGCTGAAGCGCGATTATGATAGTTGCCCATAGATACCGGTGGTGCACGAGGAACAGGCCCAGTAAGCTTGCTTGCCTTGCCCACGGACTGATTTTCCATGGGGTGCGAACCCAGAGGATGCGAGCTCAAACCAGTAGCCTTCGAGACGGACATGGATCTTTTAATGGACATGGATGACGAGGAGCGGGGCTGCTCTGAAAGTTTTACATCCTCACTCCTGCGAGACTTGTGATGCGAAGTTGGGCCACCGTTCGTCTGTCGCTGAACCTGTGCTAGTTATTAGACACATCCTCAGGTAATCAAAAGGGTATTGCAACTTACAGGATCCATGTTACGCATGTTTTCTGGTGTCAAAGTGTATTGAATCGTTTGGTCATTCTGCAGAAGCTCTTCGAAATTCTTGGTAATATCTTGAGGACGGTGCTGGGAGCCGTCTTCTGAGCTACGCATTGGCTTGTACTTGTTGGATGATGACGAGGATGGCGAATCATTGAGCTTCGTAGGAGCAGCCCTGGCAGACTCGGGAGAACCAGGAGCGCCTGGCTGGTTTCGGTCTGCAGATCGCTTGCGTGTGTAGGTAGGCGAAGCAGGAGCCGGTGCGCTTTGTTCAGGGACCACTGGCATTCGTGGCATTCTATGGTGTTCGGGAGCCCTATCGGGTATTTCTGGTTTGTTGGAGTCGAGGTCAAGGAATGACCTGCCTGCATTCGACTGATTCCGGGCGCTTGCCTTCATGCCATATGCCGCAGGGGCAGACGTGGGCCCCATGCGAGAACTTGCAGCGGGGACAGCATTAGAAACTGGTGGCTTGAAAGATTCGTATGTGCTCGTTTGAGGGTGAGAGTAGTCTCGAGCGTTTCGATATTCGAGAGCCCCTTCTGCAGGAGCGGCACCAGCAAGGGCATTTTTGATCGCTCTCGCAGTCAGATTATCTGGAGATGCTCGCTCTTCAGCAATCGGAGGAGTAGAGGACGTAGGCCGAGAGGGTGGCACGTCGGAAGTATCCACAGAGCCTGCCCTCGACTTGATGCTTGGTGTTCGGGGACTCTGCACGTCAATGACACGAACAGAACGTAGACTGTTTGAACGGGCAGGCAATTTGATGGACAGGGGCCGTCCAGACTCGGGGACAGAGGGTGAGCTTCGGCCGCCAATGGAACCGTTGATCGAGACCCGCGACGAAGTCATAATCTCAGGCTCTTCGCCAAAATCGTCAATTTCGTCTTCATCAATTGGCGTTGGTTCAGGTTCGGTTTGGGGTGCACTTCCTTGTACCATAGCTGCAACACCTGCAACGGCTGCTGCACCAAGTGCTGCGGCAGTCGAAACAATTGCAGAGACTGGACTAGGCTCAACCGCTGCTGATCTGCCATCAAGATAGTCTGTACTCGAGGTGTCAAGCGGGGACACGCCGTCCTCGTTGACTTGCCTCTCTACCTTGAGCCCAGATACATCCGCCGCCTTGTTCACATCAGTGACAACAACGTCTGTGTCGTTATCGTCAACCTTGACTGCGATGGGTGACTTGTAAGGCAAAGCAGCGGGTGTGGGGACCGAACTGGAGCGTCTCCGTGTCTTCTGGGCTGGAGCCTGGGGCTCGGACAATCCCAGAGCTGGAGAGGCCTGATAGGCCAGGGCTGAGAAGAACATGAGACTCTTGGGTCTCGGTGCTAGGCTGATGGCGTCTTCGTCGCTCTCGAGGTCGCTATCCTCGTCGTCGCTGTATGCCACCAAGCCAGGAACCTCTATTTCGGCAACGTCATTGGAGCCAATAGGCAATGGTATCTGAGACGGCCTTGGCTTAACGTTGCTATCCTCAGCTTCTCTAGGCATGGACTCTTCCAGCGGAGTGGCCAGTGACTGCATTGCATCCGTGGCAGCGCTGCCGCGTCTACTGTGCGTTGCGCTGCGAATGGAGTTGCGTCCAAAATTAGGTTCGGTAGGGGATCGTATTCTCTTTTTCCAGGAACGCCACAGCCTACCGAGTGTGCGGTCCAATGCAACGCGTTCCATGTCAAGCTCCTCCACAACGATTCGTTCCGACTCGTCCCCAGAGGCCCGTGTGCCGTCCTTGAGGTCCTTCTCATATCTCATCCGCAGGCGGTTCAGGGCGGCTTGGCCGGCAACGATTAGCACTTGTTCGCCCATGAACTCGAGAATCGAAGTCAAAAAGATAGCCACAGCAGGCGACACAGCGCTCTCGGGATGATCATCGCCATCTCCTACTCCAAGATGTTCTTGTTCCATGTGGTAATCTTCGTCCTCCTCTTCCATATCGCCAAGGGACGAATATACCATGCATCGAAGTCTGGTCCGCTTCCAAACCAGCTCCAAGTCCCAGTCATCTGGGGATCCCGTAATGGCAGATTGCACAAGGTCATCAACCTCGCCCCCGCCCAGATATTCGTTGAGTTCATCATCGGCGGCGCTAATGGCATCTTTGGCCAGCTTTGGTTTCAGGACCTCACTCACGGCAGGACGGAGTGCAGCCAAGGATGTCGAGCCAGCGACGCCAATAATGTTAAACAGCAATTGATCGATAAAGTTGTTGGCGAGTTGAAGAGCATTGACAGTGACCATGGCGGTCTCGCTCGAAGGCTCAATACCAAATTGGTCAAACCATGCTTCCGAGGAGCTATCGCAGTCGCTTGTGACAATTTGCGAGGCAGCGGATGCGGCTATAAAAGCCGCCTCCGGCGTCACAGCAGACGGCGGGGACATTAGGCTGTGCGCTATGGTAGACGGTCGGTCGCTGGACAGACTCTGAGTTCGCGATCGGACATTTCGTGGGCTCTGGAGGGGAAGAGGCGAGCCGGATACATTGGTATCAGCGCCCGCGGTGGGCATCATCAGCGACATGATTATTATAAGGGCGGGTGGTCCTCCCGCCGAGCAGTGCCCAGACCAAGGTTGAACAGCAGATTTCGGATGCTACGAGAATGTCGTGGCTGTGTTGAAGGCGCACCAAGCAGGATTCCTATCAGCAGATTAGACGGATGCACCTTGCATGGTCAACGGCGGCAGAATGCATTTCAAATCATTGCAAGCAGTCTTGAGCGAAAGAAGAAACGAAGGAACGCGAATTGGAAGGCGGCAAGCAATCGGGGAGCTGAGACAGTTGCGGGCACCAGCTGGGATTGCCTGTCGGGTGAGTGAATGTTGCATTAAAGGATTGACGGGCATGCGACACATGCGTGTAGCGGCGGGCTGCGGATCGCCAATACTGAATGAGTGGGTGGGCAGTCAGGTAGGCAAGGTAGGTTTGCGAGATCCTTCCAAGACGCAAAGTGTTGCTAATCCGGGAACAAAGCAGCATGTCAATTTCACACCGGGCGTGCTGCCGATGGATGGATGCTCTTGCCACGGAGTAATGCTGACATGAGGTGAACCAGTCCGGCTGCCATTTGGCCCACGTTATTGGCATCAACGTGACCGTTTACTGCAGAGTCTATTGTGTGAAAACCCAATCTAAGACACGAGAACCTTGACGAGATCCCGAGGGCGTGGTACAAAGCTCATGAATAGATATGGATGGGCCTCAAACAGAGCTCAGCTCACAGCGGAGCAGCAACAGATCAACGGCTGCACATCAGTGCCCACAGGTCCGATTCACAGCCATCCAAGAATAGCCAGAAGAGAGCAAGGGATCATGATGCAGCACATATGTAGGAACGAGCAGGAAAAAGCAATCGCATAGCGGAAGTAGAGAAAAAGCAAAGAGTAAACTCACACTATCGACGCCGATGTCGCGCGATCCGACAGCGATTGTTGGTGCTGCGCAGGTGGGAGATAGGTATTATTATTTGACTTTGTTGGATGCGATTAGCAGCAACGCATCTTGCCGGCGATAAGAGGAACAAGCAAAGGATCGATCGAAGGTGAAGAGAGGGAGAGTAAAAGAAGACAGCAAACAAGGGAAGCTGCGTTGAATTGAGTTCTCGGCGCCCGGTTAGAACGACTGACTGGAAGGAGATTAGGAAAATCTTTGAAGGATCAGACCGAGTTGGTGTTGATGATGCCGGGTAAATGGTAGGATTGGGTGGTGGGAGTAAAGGGTTCATGAGTTAAGGTTCCAGGCAAGCCAGGAGGGCCGCTGGCTCACTAGCGCGCTGTACGATTAAAATGGAGACGCGAGCCAAGGGCGATCTAATCCAAACTTGGGGGTCCCTGGCGGGTCTCTATTCTTTGATTCTGGTGCCTCGACCCCTGGACCGGGGTTGTATGCAAGATTGCACATGGCTCTGAATGGATTACTAGTACTACTACTTTAGAACATGTCCCATTTCTACGTGTATGGTGTGTTTTCTTCTTTCTCTTAGCAAATGGTCCTAGTTCGAGGTTGATGGGCCTTTGCATGTACACAGTAAGCTGGATACTAGCTAGCAAGAAATCCAAGAGAGATAAATAGGTATGTGATATACCTTCTTTGATCCCTTGAAGTAAGAAAGGTTCACTACTACCCATGGACCTAGTACCTACTGTGTATAGCAATGTGGACTACCGACTTGCCCATCTGTATGTTTCATACACGGATGGGGCGCAACGAGGTAATAAATGTATCGAGCGCAACGTTGACAGGCCCCCAAGCAATTCGCTTCCATCATGATAAGTCAACTAAGTCGGATCTACATGGTACTTCTTCAGCGAACACTTTCTTTCCTCAAATGTTCGATTTATATGCTGGGTTGACACGGTAAACTTGGGGGCAGTTTCGGTGTGCAAGCGGAATCCGCTCCTGTACGACACGAAACGCTTGCAACACTACGTAGTTACCACGAGTCGATCTGGTGACCGCCTGCAAGTGAGAGAGGCAGGCAGGCAGGCAAATTCCCAGTATCGTGGTCTTGGAGACGGATTGGATCGCCTGATGAACAGAGATAGCTCGCACTTTGCAGGTACGACTTTTTAGATAGCCTACAAGTACTAGACAGTAGATCCGCGCTACTTTTCAGGCCGGTTCTTGCAGTAGAATGGCCTTTGTGCGAGCCGGCAGACTGTCAGTCAGATCACAAACTCCGGGTTTTTTCTGCTCCCCACGTTGGTTTGCAGCGGAAATTATGAAGGCATGGCCTAGATCCGAGGGTCAGACCCGGATCGAAACCTGACTCTGCGAACAACGGTTGTCTGGGTTCCCTGGGCAATCCGTAGATCAATCCTACACTTGACCATGCTCTTTTCCCCATGAACATCGCCCATATGCCGTCTTGTAATCATCCTGTTGCAAACGGTCGAGCTTGTCCAGGGGGGGGCGTCTCCATAGGTTCCTAAACATTGGGGTCTCTCATTCTACGCAAATGCGAGAGAGCAAGGTCAGCTTTCGGAGCTTCCAGTGATCCACAGGTTGATGGGCCTGCTTGCAGCGGCAATGGCCCCCCGATCAAGCAAAGTGGGTGGATGGACATGGGGGGCCCCCCAATCCTTACCTGCAGGTATAGCGAGGTGGAGCACTCTCGGAGGGCCAAAGTCCTGCAAAGTCCCACTAGTCCTGCAATGCCACCCCTAAACAAGGCAGGAAAATGGGAATGGGAGCAGAAATCGCCCGAGCCCATCCCATTACCTTGAGTATAATTCTTTGAGTGTATTGTTCACACTTCCGTCATCGATTATCAATTCTGTTAACCTTCTACTCGTTCCTTCCGGCCGTCGAAACAAGCTCATTATACTTTGAGACATGGGAGGGGAGGTAACAAGTACCTACTTGGTAGAAGAGCTGAGATCTACTGGGTACCCATCAGGCCAGGGGACGATGACCATAGGGCTCATGTACGTAGAAATGCATTCGTGTAATGGTCTTGGACCGCGAACCACCAAGTCCTCTCTAGTCTGCCTGCTCTTCGTGGCAGTTGATCGACTCTGACATGTTCGTCAACCCGCCAGAAGCCCGCAGCTTCAGCTTTTCTTACATAGTACTCTGCATGAGTATATTGCCATGGTACCAACCATGAAAAATCTCCACTAACTGCGGCTGACCTCGTGCTATCCCGCTCTCAGCCCACCAAGCGAACCCCAAGGTTTTCTTGGTCGCCCAAAACGCACGAAGCACTTCGTGATCTGCAACTCTCACCACTCCGCACTCTTCATTCCGCCATCGCGGTTGTTACAGGATAGCCGTGCCTGGGAGCTAGGAAGGGAATGGGCCACATGCCACATGGCAATGCACGCCGGTCTGCCGCCTAGTGTTGATATCGCGTTCCCAGGAGCCGTGCGCATGGAGCAAAGCTGCTGCGTGTGCAGGAACCGCTCTACGAATAGTCTCGCAACGAGAAGAGCCCGTCTGCTTTCTAAGGGACTGCTGAGGCTTGTCTTTAATCTGGCAACGTCGATCCACCGGGCGCCATCTCACTTTGAGGTGAGCCAGCAAAAGGCCGGGTGCATGGCCGGCTTGATACGACTCGCGGGACGGCTATAATAATTACGACGAGCACAGGCATGACTAGAGGCTTGGGACTCGGGAGTCGGGAGAGGACAACCAATTCGTCCCGTTGATGCTTGAATGGCTGATTGCCTTACAACAACAACAACAACAACAACAACAACACCACCGCCCGTAGTGATTTATTATAGCCAGTGTCCCCTGGGGCCAATTCTTATTGGCTTACACTTCAAGGCTCCCTGGCAATGCGGCAAGGGGATGTTGAACAAGTCAGTTGAGATATACAATATAGAATAATATCTAGATCACGGTATCACCTATATACCTTACCTAGTGCAGGACAGTACTAGCAGCGTGACGTGCGGAACTGCCTGAAGAGTCCATCCAGCTGGCTCCTGCTAGCATGCAGCTACACTGCTACCTACCGTAGACCATGGCCGCTGGGAAGAAGAATTGTGAATTCAGATTGCGTTTCCCCTATCGCGCTGCCTTTTTAGTCGGGACGCTTATTACGAACATGGCACCCCACAAGGTCAGCCTTTTTGACACAGTACTAGGTACCTACATCCCTACTAAGGTAGGGTAGTTTGGCCGCCCGGCTGCTTTTGACAAAGTCGTCAACCTGCGAGATGTCATTCGTTGAAGCACTTTAATAACTGCTCAATCCGGCAGAGAAAACCGCCCCACAGATCTGCAGGCCACCGTTCTTTCTATTCCAGATCTACGGATAGGGGCAATTATTGATCACCGCTCGCCAGGCGACTGGCGATTGCTGAGCTGGTCCATGTGCCCTTTTTCAAAAAAGCTCAAAAGACCCGTTTTCTATTCTCAACGATGAGTCTTTGTCAGTTGGTGGGTGTTATGCAAGGAACTTTCGCGAAGACGATCAACAAGACAGATGGGTGCACCGGAAACACTGGTAACAAGGGATGGTCTGTCTATAATATCACACGAGATGATCGTCAGCTTCATCATCTTACTCATACCTAACCTGGCTGATTTCTCAGCATCTTGCAAAATGTGTGGAGGTCAATGAATGGAACAATCATTCGTCTCTTATTGCAAGAAACCTTCATGGTTCAGGGTCTTGAGATATGTGTGCGGATATGGGGCTTTTGCTCAGCTGCTACTTTCCTATGTGGCGCGCGTTCTAAGGGGGGGCCCACGATGGAGCACTTTAGAGAACACCATACATGATGCGGATTCGAGAACGCGCAGACGCGGCCACTCCGTCGCAGTGGATAGTGGATTATACATTCAAAGTCATGACATGTGCATGTGATGTGGGTTTTCAACATCCTCCAAAGATTGTCTACACAGTGAAGTCGTGAATGGCAAAGGCGCGTGTGCGCAGAACATACTGGCTGGTCTCCCACATTACACGATCCGAGCTCTCGGGACGTTTCGAAATTGCAGCTCTCGTGGGGCAACACACAGGGACCCTTCCCCCCAGTTAATTAATGAACAAAGGGCCCTGGCAACTTTGGATGGTCCAACGTCGTCAGCATTCGGTGCGCCTTGACCATCGCTTTCACATTATTCGCAATATATAATTTGTTCTTGTTGGGTCATCATTCAAACAAGATGGTATCACAAGATTTGGTTCATATGACTTCCTACTTCTTTTTGCCAGAGCGCTGGTGCGCCATGACGTCTGCAATCCAACATCAGCCGTTTTGACGTCGCCACATTTGGGTGTTGCTGCTGTTGCATCCAACCACCACTGCCACACCCACCATGCAGCAATTTGTGTGCAGGCGCCCATGGCGATGTGAGTCTTTCAAGTAGGAGGAGACTTTTTTTTTTTTTTCGGTGAATATGAGGATACCCGGGCAATAAGATCTTCGCCTCGCAGCTGCAGTATGCAATTGTCCTACACCAGACATATAACCACTTGGCCTTGGCCGCATACCGACTGATCGCCTCTGCGCACAATGGACGATGGAACACAAACCACATGGCCGTACAACAAAGAAGCTTATGCCCATAGCCGTCTCGCACGTCGCACCATGGCATCAATGAAGGTTGGATTTAGAAAAAGTTCAATTTCCGAATCCCATCTTCTGTGGAACCCCAGCCCATCGAAATGGACGCTTCGTGCCGCCCTTTACTCGGTCGCTATGATGATATTCTCTGATTCGCCCGGTATTCCTTCTTGATGCTGTCATGAACCGACGAAGCGAAGGGAAGCGAGAAGGCCCAAGCGCCGGGCGTTATACTCGGAAGTCGTGTTCACGGACACCACGTCTTCTCTGCATTTAACAGTGTCAGTTCGTCCATTGGTCGCCAAACACCCGACGTTCTCGAGAATGCTAAAAACTCTTTTTCTCATGTCCTGCGGTTGACTCCGTTGCTGTCAAGAAAGAAAAAGCAAACCGGAACTGGGTCTTCCTCCGCGTGCGCCAACTTTCTCGCCGGAGCAAGCCGTGTCTCTCTCTACTCAGGGGTACGACCACGTCGTTTCTGCATGTCTCACCACCCAAATTGCATTCAACGCCCACGATGACTTATTCAACTGCCATTGAAGTTTAAATATGAGAAAGCGCGTAATGATACTTTGGCATGTCCAATCATTAGCAAGCCCGGGCCCCTAAGCGCTCAATATGATGCTTCAGGTCAAGAATAACCTCGAGGACCGTACTGGTGTGATCAGCGGGTGCCCAACGTATGTGTCAAAGCAACTGTTCGTCATTCACGTGGAAAGCTTGATGTCCCAAATAGTAAAGGTTCTTCTATCATGTACCTGTCTATAGGATTCTAGACTTGTGTGTCTTGGCTAAGCAATCCTTGTAACTTCCAAGTCTACAGCCATCTAATCTATCACCCATGAGAATGAAGCTCATTAATCCACCAGTCTAGCAAGGACCAGGCCGTCCCACAGAGGCAGCAAAAATGGTTCCAACCGAGGATTGGCCTTGACCGCGTCGTTGAACTCGCGCATCTTGCCAACATCGTCGTGCTGGCCCTTGTACTCCTCGCCCTCCGCGGCGCCGGGCTCGGTGGGCCGGTGCGGGTTCGCCGCCGAGTCGTCGGCCACGAGTCCGCGCCGGAGAGCATTATCGCCAATGAGCAGGCCGCCCTTGCGCAGGAGCCTCTGCGCCGCGGGGGCGCCCGCCGGCGACCGGTCGAGCACCGTCTGCAGGTACGCCACGTAGCCCGACTTTTGGGCGTCGACAAAGACAACGTCGTAGGGCTCGCCGCCGGGAGTCTCTAGGGCCGGTAGCGCAGCCAAAGCGTCGCCCACTTTGAGGGTGATGTTGCTCAGTGAGTTGGATGCAAAGGCTGCCTCGGCTCGCTGTGCAAACTCGGGATTGAACTCGAGGCCTGTCACGGTTCCCGAGGGCCCGACAGCGTGAGACCATGTCATTGTGGAAAACCCTAGGTAGACACCAATCTCGAGAACTACAGGATTAGTTAGCTCAGGCTGATGGTTGTAGACAATAAGAAAACTTGGTTCAGCGTGTATCAATATCATCCTACAACGTAGTACCATACATCTAGGCAGAAGATGGGAATTGGGGAACAGAACATGGGCAAATAGGCATACCTCTCTTGGCATCAATGAGTCTCGCAAGCCATACCAGAGAGCGCGCTTGGTATGTAGATATCATGAGATTACTGTTGGTATTGTTTCGGCAGACATCCGCATGATAGTCGATGAGCCATTTGGGCAGATCCAGCGAGTGCGCCTCGGAATACGTGGTCACGGCCTCAGCAACGGCATCATTGCTGTAGAGTATGGGCTTTGCGTCCTTCATTTTTGAGTCTGTGATGTGCGGATCAATCAAGTGTAATAAGGTGATGAGAGTATGTCAAGGACCTCGTCGTGTTGATATGAAGCTGTATAACCGAGAGTCCTAGAGATTCCGGAAGCGGGATGTGGAGTGGGTCAAGCGGCGAGGGGTCGTTCCTACTAGCTGAGGAACTGAAGAGTAAAGAACAAGATCATGTCCTGCCCATGATCTTTGGGTGAAATGCATTTATCTACTCAACTATATGGGACGCCATCACTATTCTCGGCCGTAAACATCTCATCTGGTGGCTTTATCCTTCGATCTCCGCAAGATCACCGCTTTGTAAATCCGGGTACGCTCGGCTCGGAGCTTTGATAGAATGACGGAATGTGGAGAGAAATGCGCGGCAGCCCACTTATTTGGTGATTATAGTAGGCATCTACACGTTGCGAGGCGTTTCTCGGATTATCCAAGGGGTCCAGACGCCATTCATCTAGCATGGATGTCATAAGGTGATATTTCACTACGGTTACTTTATCGTTATTCGTGTTGCATATGAGTTCGAGCTACTATATTTACATGTACCGACCGTAGGAATGATGAAGCGTGCAACGAGTGGTGCAATTATAGTAAGACATTCATACTCTTATCAAATCACCTAGATCATAGACTAAATCACAATCCGCGACGGTAATGTGAACAAAAAACAATCTAATATCTCTATTACTTTAAAATGAGTGTATGCTAACTCCTAAAGTCGTCCAGTCTAGCTTGTTTTCCAAATATAATTAAGAGTAGCTGATATGTAAAAATTCCAGTCCGAATAAAAAAATGATAAGCCGGATCAGATGGCTTTATTTCTTCGGCTCTCACGAAGACTTGTGGTTTGATTCATTAAAGCAGGACGGCAGCGGCCCCAAGAGCAGCCAACAGTCCACCTCTGAGCGCGGAATTGCTCCTTGCCGCCATGGCCGTGACAGCCATGAATGGGGTCACGGAGGGCTCAGATGACTCTGATGTAGTTGCAGCCTTTGACTTGGTGCTGGTAGTGGTCTCAAGAGGGCTGACGGGGTAGGTCGCGCCCGCAGATATGCTGGTCAGCTCGGGCTGCTCCTCAGAGGCGCCGCTGGATGTCGGCTGTGAAAGCTCAGAGCTTGGCTCTGGAAGAATGGTTGGCAGTGGAATGAGGCTTCCCTCGGGTATGCTAATGGAATCGGTGGGAGAAACAGAGACCTCAGAGTTCGGATCCGGAAGTATGGTGGGCAACGGATAAAGGCTTCCCGTTTCGGTCAAAGAAAACCCAGCCGTGTTTGAGTTTTGATCTTCGTTGTTCTGTGTCGAAGCAGTGTTGGCGGCAGATTCTTCAGAGGCGGATGCTGCGACAGTTTCTACAGAGAGATTAGAAGCAATATCAACCAACGCGGTAGTGGTTGGCAGGAGAGAAATTTGTACCAGAATAAGACGCAGTTTCGGCAACAGAGGTAGCAAGAGTTTCCTCCGAGGAAGTAGCAAAGATTCCCGTCTCAGAGGCAGAAATATTGTCTGAGGTGTACAGTGTTTCGCTACCAGCAGAGCCACCCGCAGCGCACGAGGCAGACTGGTCCTCGACAATAGTCGTTGTAGAGGTGATCACACTAAAGACAGTGATGGTGACGGTTGCTGATGCAGGGATCTCGGCGCTGGCGCTCAGGGAAGACGACCGGGATGAAAAGGTGGGTCTACCGGCAGTTGCACCGGCGGATGACTTGGTTCCGTTATCCTTAATCGATGTAGATACTGAGGCTGTGTTAGGATAAGTGTTCGAGCTCGAAACAGAAGCGGAAGGTAAACTGTAGGACGAGCTAGACGATGATCCGGAGCTCGAGCTGGCAGCCGTGCTAGATGCTGGACTTGAGGATGAGCTAGAAGACGACGTTGAGCTTGAAGTTGGACTCAAAGTTGAGCTTGAAGTTGGACTCAAAGTTGAGCTTGAAGTTGAACTTAAAGTCGGGCTGGAGGATGAGCTTGATGAAGATGAACTGGAAGACGAGATATATGGCGAGGATGATGTTGAGCTTGAAGATGGACTGGAAGATGAGCTAGATGAAGATGATGAAGTTGAGCTAGATGAAGTTGGACTGAAAGTGGAACTAAAGGAAGAGCTGGACGAGCTGGATGATGAAGTAGGAGATGAAGTAGAGTATGAACTGATTGACGAGCTGGAAGATGAGCCAGATTGTGTTGATGATGTCGAGCTAGATGAAGATGGACTAAAAGTCGATCCGAGTGAAGAGGATGAAGTCGAGCTCGAAGTTGTACTAGAAGTCGGGCTGGAGGACGAGCTGGAGGAAGAGCTGGACGAGCTGGATGATGAAGAAGATGATGAAGAAGAGGATGAAGAAGAGGATGAAGAAGAGG